ATTTTGGGTTGACAACAAGACTGCTACCTCACCCACAAAAAAGGGGACTGTAGGGGAAAAAAAGGAGCAAAACGCAGAGAAGCTAAATCAGGGGAGATGTAGTAAATAAAAAGAGCTAAGCATATTGGAGGCCCAAAACAAAACCACAGCAACCCCGGGGAAACCCGAAAGGGGAAAAGACAGGCCACGAGCCCAAGTACATTAGCTAGTGAAATGAAGAAAGGAAACTGCAATGGGGGAAAATCAAATTAAATGGGGGATAACGGGGATAGCGGGGGGGGGAGAAGAAAGGGAGAGGTCAGTCTTGTGTAGGGGCTCCAGAATTTGAAGGGGAAACAAAATGAAGAAAAAAACAAGGGGAAAAAAAAAAAGCAATTGAAAGCATCAAAAAGAAATGGGAGAAACAGACCCCTGGAAAATTTTGGGAGAGTAGGGGGGTTTTGTAAAAAAAAAACCCGGCCAGTAAAAGTGACCTTCAAGGCAGAACGCCCGGAAAAACCCTCCCGGAGAAAGCACATAAAGGGACATGTGGAGCGGGAAGGGTATTCGACCGGACAAAACACAAGCGAAAGGCGAAACAGAGGAGTGGTACAAAAAAGGGGGAAAGAGGGGGATGGAAAAGACAGACGGGAATCCAAAAACAGGAAAGATCAAATACAGCCCCCTCACAATTTCTATAGAACCTCCCAACCAGGTCAACCCCGTGCAACCAAACACTCTAAATCAAAACCCATGCCACACCAATGCCCCACCCACTGCTTACAAACTCCCCCCCCCACAGCAACCACCCATATTCTTATCAGGTCCCCCATTTCCCCAACCCCAAATACACCCCCCAACCAAAATTTTGAAAAGAATTTAAAGGGTTGGTATACAAATGAGATGGAAAAAACAAATGATGGCACGAAAGAATCAAGGAACATCCCCAGACATAAAAGCACTCGCAGAAACAAACTCACCAGATAATAACAGATTTAATCTTTCCATCCGGAAACAAAACCTCAGGAAAGGGGAGGAGAGGGGGGGGGAGTTGCACTGCCATTAAAAACCAGTGGGGGGTTTGAGAAATGGAAGGAATGATGGGACGGCGAAAGGGACTACCCAGTAGGAACAAACCAGTGAGGGACATAAGGTATAATTGCAGTAATGTACAACCCCCCCAAACTGCAGGGGGCCAAGAGAAGAATACGATGAGACAAAAGAGCAATGGTCAACACTGCCCAGGTGTCCAGAGAGCACACATGGGGGGGGCAAAGTTACTAGTTAGGGTGTTTTTAATCACAAGGGGATTGACTGGGAAAAACCCGGACCCATGGGGTCCCGAAAACATGGAGAGCCAAGATGTGGATTGGACGGGAAAAACCCCATGCATCAACAGTTAGACAACTACCAAAGAGAGGAGGGATGAAACCCGCAAAACTGGCCTTGTATTTCACCTTGATATTCTGACACGAGATATGTATGAAAGGCCCCCAGGGGCTAGGATCTGTGGGTTTCTGTCTTCCGACACATAGTTTAGCTCCAAGGGGGAAAACAGCAGGAATAGGGGGGAAAAACCAAAAATAAAAAGGGGGGAATACTCAGGGTTGAGGAATTTTTCAAGACATTTAGTGGGGAGGGAAAATGACAGGAAAAACCCGTAGAAAAATGTGGACTATGTGGCAAAAAATGCAAGGAGGGAGAGGGGGGGTTTGTCCCAAGGGAAACAGAAAAAATGGGAAAACAAACGAGTCTTGGTTCATCAAAGGTGTAGGGAGGGGAAAAAAAGGTGTACTAGAGAATGGGAAAAGGGACAGAAGACGAACTCAGGGGAAAAAAAGAGATTAGCCCAAGGCCAGAAACAAATTGCACATTAAAAGGGAGGCTCAACGCAATACGAAAATGACTAGCATCGAAAGTAAGATGACCCGAACTGTTTTTTAAAAGCCCACAGGAGGAAAACAACAGTCAAGGACCAGGGAATCAACTGGGAAGGGGATGGGGATTCACAAAAACACCGGGGGGTATGTCAGAGTCAACACAAATTTAAAGAAATATTTACAGTGGAAACCCGTAGGTCCCGGAAAACAAGCGGGGGGGGCACCAACAAATCTGGTGAGGTACATATAACCAAGGAGGGGTGAAGAAGGCTATGGAACTTGATACCCCAAAAACGGGGGGAACCCGACAAACATCCTTTTTGGGGTCCCAAAAGGGGAGCAAGTATTTGTGTACCGTTAACAAGATCTTCAACACATCATTTGAAAAAATGGCAAAACCCCCAGGGATGGAAATGGCTAATTAGTCCCCAAATTTTTAAAAAGGGAGACAGACATAGGGACTAAACACAGACCCTTTTCACTAACGTGTATAGTATGCAAAGGGCATGGAGAAGAAACAGGAGGGGAAATGGTTGGGGGCACTGGAAAGAAACAAGTGATAATTGACAACCACATGGTTTTTAGGGGGGAAAATCCTGTGTCACAAAACCACTAAGTTTTATGACAGGGTGACAGAATAAGACAAGAGAGAAGGGGGGGGATCGCTGCATTTTTTTGGGCTGCAAGAAACCTTCGACCAGTTTTTCCCCACAAGAGGTTACTGCAAAACTGAGGCAGGGACACAAAAAAAAGGGAAAGGCACTGCAATGGATCAGAGAATACCTGACAGGGAGGCAACAACGAGTCATGGTACGTGACGAGGTGTCAGAGTGGGCGCCTGTGACAAGCGGGGTTCCACAGGGGTCAGTCCTAGGACCTGTGCTGTTCTTGGTATATGTGAATGACATAACGGAAGGGATAGACTCAGAAGTGTCCTTGTTTGTGGACGATGTGAAGTTAATGAGAAGAATCAAATCGGATGAGGATCAGGCAGGACTACAAAGAGACCTGGACAGGCTACAAGCCTGGTCCAGCAACTGGCTCCTTGAGTTTAACCCTGCCAAATACAAAGTCATGAAGATTGGGGAAGGGCAAAGAAGACCGCAGACACAGTAAAGTCTAGGTAGCCACAAACTGCAAACCTCACTCAAGGAAAAAGATCTGGGGGTGAGTATAACACCGAGCATATCTCCCGAGGTGCACATCAATCAGATAACTGCTGCAGCATACGGGCGCCTGGCAAACCTACGGATAGCGTTCCGATACCTCAGTAAGGATTCGTTCAAGACTGTATACCATTTACATCAGGCCCATACTGGAGTATGCAGCACCAGTTTGGAATCCACACCTAGTCAAGCACGTCAAGAAATTAGAGAAAGTGCAAAGGTTTGCAACAAGACTAGTCCCAGAGCTACGGGGATTGTCCTACGAAGAAAGGTTGAGGGAAATCGGCCTGACGACACTGGAGGACAGGAGGGTCAGGGGAGACATGATAACGACATATAAAATACTGCGCGGAATAGACAAGGTGGACAAAGACGGGATGTTCCAGAGATGGGACACAGACACAAGAGGTCACAATTGGAAGTTGAAGACTCAGATGAATCAAAGGGATGTTAGGAAGTATTTCTTCAGTCATAGAATAGTCAGGCCGTGGAATAGCCTAGAAAGTGACGTAGTGGAGGCGGGAACTATACATAGTTTTAAGGCGAGGTATGATAAAGCTCATGGGGCAGGGAGAGAGAGGACCTAGTAGCAATCAGCGAAGAGGCGGGGCTAGGAGCTATGACTCGACCCCTGCAACCACAAATAGGTGAGTACAAATAGGTGAGTGTACACACACACACACACACACACACACACACACACACACACACACACACACACACACAGTTTAGTTTAATATCTTTATTATGCACCCCATACCCATCCTGTGGGCGATAGTCAAAAGATTACAAAGGTACATAATGGGTCCAGGGACTGGACCCCAAAGTTATGATAGCTGAACTAGTTACAAAGATAATGAACTCCAGGTAGATCTGGTCACAATCATTGCAAGTTACAAAGGTAATGAATCAGCCTCACTCCATTCTCAATATCCCATGTAAGCCTGGTGACAGATACAGGGCGAACGTAGTGTCATGATGCGCCTGGTCCGTTTTCTGTTGGGTTCTCGGGTAATAACTGAAGTGGATAGCTAATAAGGGGAAAGACGCTTTAGTGCAGTAATTTTCTCATATTGACTACTTGGACTATAAATCGGTTTGTCCTTAGGAAATGGCAGGTTACTAGTGACTGTATGAATAAGCATAAAAATATTGAGAAGGAACAGACATGCCTTTATTTCATCCCTGGAAAAGTTGCAGTGGATGTTCATATATACGTGTATTTGATTGGAAGAAGAGCAGTGATTGACCAGTTGGTTCATGGACTGCTGGATAAACATAGTTTATACTGACTGGACATGTGCATTTAAGACTATTGTAATTTTTCATATTACGTAAGGAGATTTAACAAAAAAAAAATAAAAGGTGTATAATATCGGTATTGACAGATGTATCAGTCACATGCATGCAGCGTTTTGAAACTTTGGTTAATTAAGATAAGTTTCGCTCATGGTGAAGGAAGCGAGAGGGGAGGAAGGATAGGTGAGGAGGATGGGAGGAAGAAAAGGAATTTGAGAAGGGAAGGAGGGAGATATGAAAGAAGGCACTGGAGGATTTTTTTTTTTTTTTTTTTTTTTTTTTTTTTTTTTTTTTTTTTTTTTTTTTTTTTTTTTTTTTTTTTTTTTTTTAGAAAAGTTGGATACTGGAGCAGCGTGCTGCTACACTATGCAATTGTTTAAGAGTGGGAACAAAAGTTAACAATGTTTCCCTGTCATCCATCACAGGATGGGGCTCGTGCATTATACGTAGTGTTGAAATCTCTTAACCTAAGCCTGGAGACTTCAGTAGGACAATGAAGATTACTCTTAAGTATTCCGTTTAAAGTTCAGCTACGTAAACATTACAAATTTAGTTTCAGCAGAACCGTAGTTACTGTTACTTCAGAATCATCGTCTCTCGGAATGACCTATCACATACACACGAGAAATATAAATATGAAGATAGTGTTTATTTACTT